TTGAGGGCTTTCCGAGCCCGTCAGTCGTGTCAAGAGGCTGCGCTGAGGGGGCTGCCAGCCTCGGGGCGGACGCTGGTACCCCACACCCTGGCTGAGTAGCTGGAGCTGAGGCAGCGCGAGGTATGTGGGTGTTTCAATGGTGTTTTGACAGCCAAGACCTGAATAATGCTAGCAACCACGGCTGTCGTGTCCTGCAGACGTGTCTGGGAGAGGAATAGAGCCGTTTCATGTTTCTTCCCTCATCCTTTCTCCTGCAGAGCCATGGAGGTCCCTGCGGGGCTGTCTGCAGGAGAGGAGGCCGCCGCCTCGCCCGCTGCCGCAGCTTCTCCCAGCCGGTCGCACCCCTCACCACCCATACAGATCGCCGTGCTGCAGGCGCAGGGCCTGGTAAGGTGCTTCTGAAAATGTCTCTCTGCTGGTTTCATCAATGACGCCAGAGCAATTCCATGTGCTGTGATCCCACTCAAGACCAGGTGTGAGGCAATAAGGCTGTAGGAAGGAGTGAGGATATCGAGATTCAGCGATGCCACGCCGTGGCTTCCCCCTGCCCACCCAGGGCTCGTTCACACAGGGTAGAGGCTTGTGATTCCCGTAGGTTGGGGAGCGCACCCGCTCAGCAGCAGCCCAGAGCTGTTGAAAGGTATCCCTCTGCCTTCTCTGCCCAGCTCTACAGCTCTACTCTGCCTGAAAGGAGGTTGCAGAGTGGGGGGTTGGTCTCTTCTCCGAGGTGACAAGTGATAGAAGAGAAAACAGCCTCAAGTTACACCAGGGGAGGTTTAGGTTGGATATTAGGAACAATTCCTTCACTGGAATGGGCTACCCGGAGAGGTGGTGGAGTCACCATCCCTGGGGAGATTTGAGAGATGTGTGGACGAGGCGCTTAGGGACATGGTTAGTGTTGGCATGGGCAGTGTTGGGTTAACGGTTGGACTTGATGATCTTAAAGGTCTTTTCCAGCCTGAAAGATTCTATGATTCTAATGATATGTAAATGGCAGCTTTCTGAAACAAAACACAGTGGAAATGTGTACCAGTGAGACAAATACCTCTAAAAAGATTTCACCTTGGACATAAAGCAGATTTTCATCCCAGCTACAGCAGTTTACATGGCACTGAAAACAACAGGGTGGCTCTCATTTTAAAAAAATGGTGGCTGCAGTGCCCTTACAGGGCAAGACTATGAGCTGGTCCCTTTCAAACCTTGACTGCTGTGGTTTCCATGTGCTGCGTGATGCACCCAGCTGCCCTTAAAGTCTTCTAGAGCAACTGGCGTTTAGGAGGGAATGTGGAGGAGAAGCTCAGCTACTGCTGCAAGCAGAAAAATGCAAATCCCTGCTTCTGCTGTAGCAGCAGACAAAGAAAACCCCAAAGCCAAACAAAACCAAAACACCTACCTGTTTGTTTTTTTGAGGCTTTTGCACTGCAGTATTTGAGTACCTCTCACACCAATAGATTAGCAAACAGCAGCTTAGGCGAGAAGTAAAAGGTAAGAGGAGGGAAAACAATTCTGAAAAGAATAGACGGGTGGAATGATTGCATCCGGAATGTTGCTTTGTGGTTCTGATTGCTCCATCTTAGAAAAGGCTGTGGCAAATGGAGAGAGGGTTACAAAAGTGCAATAATAAGAACAACAATATGAAAAAAAATATAGCTATAAGAAGTGCAGAATCTTCTTAATTAGAGGTGATGTAGAAAAGGATGACAGAGGAGTCTAGGATAATTAATGGTACAGAGAAAGGTTAATTGGATTCTTCTGGTTAGCTGTTCATAGAATATATGCTCAAGCAGACAGTCAGAAGGTCTGAAAATTAAAACCAAGTGAATGAAATCTCTTTGTGCAAAAGCCAATATGGAACTAATTACCCCAGTGACATGGCAAGAGGGAGCTGAGGGAGGGGCCCATGGCAATTAGGCATCCCTGTGGCTCAGGACTAAAGAAAAGCTGGGTTTGGGTACAATGGTCTTCATGTTCAGGGCAGTGGCTGCTCTTCCCTGGATGGAGAAGGGTTTCTTCTGCGGGGAGGCTCGTCGGTAGCTGCCTGTCTCAGTGCCGCTGCTGTGGAGGTGCTGCCTGAGCATGCAGATCCCAGCTGCAACATGCTGTACTGCTGCCATCCCTGTTCACCCGTGTTTAAGCCCCTCTGCGGAGGTTTAAAATTCGAACGTCCTAATTTCTGCTGGAGGCAAGTGGTTTGAAGCTGCTGCTGGAGCCCTTCTTTGATTTCAGGACCTTCTCCAGCCACACAATATACACAAGTGCCCTGTGAGTTCAGCCACACAGCTCAGGAGCTACTTTCTTAGGAGACAACAAAAGTCTCCAGATTCCTGGAAGCACAAAAATACCAATGGAGTATTTTTGGATTAGCTTTAGATTTGTCTTTCATTGACTTTCCTGGGGTGAAGTCTGGACCTCTCCATCTCCCCTGCCCTTCCAGCAGCAGGTGTTGGTAATCCTTGTGGCATCACAGCATGGTGGAGCAGGAAATTTCCCTCCTAGAGACAGGGAAGGGTGAGGTCTCAGCACGGCCAAGCTCTGCTCCTCTTCCTCGTTGCTGTAGCGGAACAGCCGAAGACCCCACCAGTGAACCCTGTCCTGGGCACTGATCTGAGCTGCCTCACTGAGGCAACTTTGATCATGGGCCTGTTGCTGCAGCGTCAGCTGCTTCATCTGCTGTTTGTTTGACAGAAAAGTCTCAAAAGCGATGTGTCAGTTACTTTGGTGCGTGTGGAGTACAACGGAGCCATCTTGGGAGACTCCTCCAGGGCTGATGTCTTGCCAAACGGGACAGCAAACTATAATTTCATGGCCAGCTTTGAGTGCAGCTCCAATGGGCCCAACTCCTTGGATGACATTGCACAAAACCCTGTGCTCTGTAAGTACCTGATGCTGAATCTCCCTCCTTGGAGGTGGGTGGTGTCAGCTGCTCCGCTCTGCTTGCCTGCTGCAGGAGTCAGTCGCTCAAGAATAGCCCTTCTGAGGCAACGGTGGGGGGGCTTGGCACTTCTGTGCCCTTCTCTGCCAGCTGGAAGAGTCCCCTTTCATGCTGGTCTGTGCTCCTTGGCTGCGGTGCTCTTGTCGGCCTTGGGAGATGAAGTAGGAGTGTGTGCCGGAGCTGACACGGACCCACTGCTGGGTCTGAGCTGTCTGAGAAACTCTGCCAGCTCCTCTCTCTTCATCTTTCTAGTGACAGTGATAGAAGTGTGTCAAAGGGAGAAGAGGCAGAAGGAGAAGACTCTGCCTCTTGGCCAAGCTGTGGTGGACCTTCTGCCTCTGCTGCAAGGTACAGCATTGAATTCCACAGCCTCAATAACCACTTCTTACTCCCTGATGCTTTTTGGTCTTTGCCTATGGAGCCCATAACTTACCTCCTTTCAACAAAACACCCTTCATGGTGTCTGTAGAAAGCTGGGTCTGAGGGACAATACCAGTAGCTCACCTTAGGAGTTAAGCCGTGATTTCTCTACAGAGGGTCTCGCTTCATGCTGTTCCATTCCTGTTTCTTCCCAGGACAGTGCTCATTTAAGGTCTTGGCTCCTTTGTATGCAGTGCCCACCTCGCCATTAGAGAACCTTCAGCCGGAGGCCAAGGTATGTGGAATTTGGAACTGTTCCTTCACTCATTCGTCCCTCTGCTGCTTTTTAATGGGAAGGCGAGCGTGACTCAGCTGCCAGGCTCATCTCGGATGTGTTACAGCCCTATACGTTACAAGCTTGGAGGCCTTTCCTACTCCCATTGACGTCTGTCCCTCGTTGCCTGTGATAGGTGAGGTCGTGCTAGGAAATGCTAATGTGTGCAGCTACCAAATTGCTCTGGAAAAAAATAAGATAGAAAGCACAGTGCTGAAAAATCAGACAAAGGCAGGATTACCTGCCCAACTTTATTAGTCTTCCTTTCTGTGGATAAAATGCCTGAGTCTGTTATTGTACAAGGTCTGACTGCCTTTCCTGCGAGGTCCTTATTCATTCAGCCTGTTGAAAAGCACCCAGTGACTAGAGCAGGGAATGAAGTACGAGACTGGGGAAATGTGTCTAATTTTGCTCCCGAGTCTGCCTGCAGTTAGCACTGCGAGTGAACTGGAGGGGCGGGTACTGCATTCACTTTTCTCTATTTAAGAGGTGTAAGAAAGGCAGGGGGGTGCCCATTAGAGATAATGAGAGAGATAAGAAATGCTGACCAGCTGTTTTTTCATTGCACACCATCCATCCGGGTAATTAAAGACTGTACACAGCGCATGGAATCAAAATGTGGCCCTAGCTTTGGCATGCTCTGAATCACCAGGGGAAAATCATTATTTTCCATCCCTGATGTTCTTTCTCTATGACTCATTTTAGGAGACCCTGACCCTTTCTCCCTGGCTCATTTTATGAGAACCTTGGGGCATATGCCATGCCTCAAGCAGGCTGCTGTTTAAACAAACAAGTATCACAATTCAGACAAATTGATCATGAAATGCCTTTCCCGTGCTGCTCTATTTTCTTTTACATCTGAGGTGAGGTGTAAGATCACATTATACATTCTGGCCTTGGGTTTCTGCTTGCTTTTCCCTCAAGAGCAGGAGACTTATAATTGTCTAGTTACTGGCTCTGCTTTATCCTTGTCTCACAGGGTGGCCTTGAAGTGACAGTGTGCACCGAAGAGCCCCTGCTTTCTGCAACGCAGCTTTCACATGGAAACCTCCTGAGCGTCACACTGGAGGCAGCTTACTCTGTCCCTGAGGCGTTTGCTCCCACCGGACCCCTGCAGAACTACATGGCTTGCTTGCAAGTACCTGGAGCTGGGAAGGTGAGGATTGGTCCAGGCAATTGGTCCAGGCATGGTGAGAGGGGTTTTGGCTGCTACAAAGTGGATTGTTCTCCCACACTACGCACCGTGGAAAAAGTGTCCAGGCCTGTGGGATGTACAGCAGTGTTTCTTGCGAGTGCTCAGGGCCTCTGTGGCACGTTGTCTTCCTTTAACACAAAGAAAGGTCTGCTCGGCAAAGTTTGGATTGAAATTGGCAGGGTTTTTTCTACGTGGCTATTTATTTTTTCTCCATTCTTTGTATGTGTGTGGTGGGGTGTGTTTTCCAAGCCAGGCCCCTGCACTGCTGCTTTGCTTTCTTAAACCCAGCTCGGATCAGCTGGCACTTGCTCCTCCTCATGTTGGAAATGCAAATCCTTTCATTCTCATGTCTCTCTAGAAGGAATTCCCCTTGCTCTTCAAGAATGGCATCCTGAAGCTGGCCGGTGAAAAAGAGCCATTACCCCGGCCCAAAAAATGGTCCCTTGCTAACGTCATGGCTCCTGGTGCCCTGAGCATACCCAACTCCTTCATTGTTGGTGGGCCCTATGAGGATGAGGATGGGGAGCTCAACAAAAGAGAGGTGAGGGAGGACTGGCAGTGTCATGGCTGGAAGAGAGCCAGTAGGTCCCACTGAAGGGACTGAGAGAGACTTGCAGAGACTCGGTATGGGAGGAGGGGAGGAAGGTGGGTGGTTGGTCCTGTGTGCAGTGTCCACACACGGAGGTGGCTTCCCTGGGACAGTGACGTGCTGACTCAATGCAGGAGAGTTCCTCACGTGTGACAAGCCTGGTCTCCAGTAAGCTGCCTACTCCCGAGCTGGGAGTTGTATTATCTCCTTGTGAGCCAGACTCTTCAAACTGATGAAGGGAGGGCTGCTAGCTTACTCTGCTAGGATGGGCTGGGTACAGTGAATTGGACACCTCTCCGACTCATGTGCTCTCCCAGGGAATATTTCTGGGGGGTGATGCAGGCTGTAGAGATTGCTGTCCTGCCTCTGACCCCATGCTGTTTCTCCCAGGACAGGGAGTTTAGGATCCAAGCAGAAGGCATGCAGAGAATCGTATGGGACATGGAAAAGCGCTGTTACCTGGATCCCACTGCGGTCGTCATGTAAGGGGCCTGAGAACCTCCCTTCCAGCACACAGCGGTGGGAAGAAAGCCCGTTAAAATGCCCTCAGCTGAGTGACTGTCTCAGGCAGGGGAGCAGCAACATCCAGGTGCTCTCAGACCTCTTATGTGGTCAAATCACGGCTCGCTCTCACCGCCTGTGGCTGTGATGGCTGGCTGTGGCTGTGATGGCTGTCTGTGGCTAAAGGTGTTCACACGAGCAAGGCAGCAGCTAACTGCCTTCAGTTGCTGGCAGAAGCTTAGTTCTGCTGTGGTGGGAGATGGTGAATTGGCTGTAGTGGCTGCCTCCAGGCTGTAAATGCTTGCTCATGCTGCCAGCAACTGGAGCTGGTGACTGCTCCCTCCATGGTTTGAAGGAAGGGACAGTAGAGTTATGGTGAGCAGACATGGAGTAGGGTGGCTCACACAGCTCCCTCTGAGCTGCTAATTAAGTTTTGCTGAATTCCCAATACATAGAAATCCTTTCACTCCATGTGGGCACCCTTCATTTGCCTTTATGTTGCATAAACGTTACCTTTAGGAGCTCCAGATATGCTCAAGATCAGGATAAATATCCCATTTCTCTTGGAGTCCTGCTAGGTTCTTGGCCTCAGCTGCATCATGGCTCTGAGTTTCACAGCCAAATTACTCCTCGTGTGTGGAAATACTCCCTTCTATCTGCTTTGATTTTTTAAAAAATCTCTTTTCCCCTGCACTTTCATCAGCCTGCCTGCTGCTTTCAGAGTTAGCAGGCACGCTGAATGGGAGCTCAGAGTCTGCTTGCTCAGTGCAATTCAGGATTTATACCAAAGTTGATCATGTTCCTTCTTAAGTAATCAGGGGAGAGAGAAAACCTAAGGTGTTGCTCTCAGTCGTTTTATAGCTGGTTGTGCTATAAATGCACGCAGCAGTGGCTGGAGAAGAAAATGTACCAAGCCTTGCCCCAAAGCACACATGGTCCAGTGGCCCGAGGGTGTTTGCTGTGGGTGTGGGTTGAAGCAGACCCACAGGGGGATGCTCTGTGGCTGCTGGGGCAGAAAGAAAGGCAGTGTAGCTTGCCAGGTTGGTTTCTGCATCTTCTCAGTGCCCTCCTTTGTATCCAGCCTACAGAATCGCATTGCGGAGTGCCAGTACTGGCCCGTGGAGGTCTGCAGGATGGCTGTGGCCTCACCCAGCAAAGGGAAAACTAGCAAAGCTGACAAGGTAAAAGTGGGGAGGGATCTGTTGTTCATTGTGTTATTGAGCATTTTCCTTTCAGTATCTTTGTAATTCCAAACCCAGCCTTGAACCAGCCAAAGCGAGTCAGAGAGCTAGAGGCTTTGTAAGGGGATTAATTGGCCTTGTAGAGCTGTTAAATAGACAAAGGATAATATTTTTTCTGTAGAGCATACAGACCTCTCACTGACAGTGTGATGGCTTGGTGGAAAGGGGTCAGGGAGAGGGGGCTTTTTGAGACTTGAGGTAACTCACTGAGCTTATCTTTGGCCAATGGGTTGTGGAGCATCGCGAAGAAATTCATGCCTTCTTTCTCTGGATGTAAATTATGCTTTTGCACATAAACTGTGGGGGTTTAACAAAGAAACAGGCCCTTAGCTAATGGTTCTGTTCCTGGCTGATCATGTGAGAGCTTGTAATCTGTTCCAGCTCTCAAGTTGGTGTAAATCTCTTTCCGTGTTCATTGGTGCCAGGATTTTGCAGCTCTGAGAGAGATCCTGCTCCCTTACCCTCACCACTCTGCTGCTGGCCCAGGCTCTCAGACCTCCTTAGCTACCTGATTTCTGTCAGACCTGGGATGCACAGCTCTGCTGGGGTTGCTTGGATTTCTAACCACACAGCTGGTAAATTTGCAGCTGTACCTCAAAAAGACTGTCCTGAGGAGTGGCACAGTGTGGGCATTAGAGAGAAAAGCCGCCCTGCAGGGATTGGAATAAAATTGATATTCTACATATCGAATGACTCCAGTGTTTTTGTCCAGGTTGTCTCGGCGCTGTGCCAGTGACAGAGAGCCACTGGCTCATCAGGTGCACCAGTTTGCTGTGCAGCCTTTTAATGGGATTGGTGACCTTGTTCCCTTACAGAGAATTAACAGTCCGTTTAGTATCTCAGTCCCTTGCTCTGTGCTTCTAGGGAGATGAGGACAAGCAGATTTTCTTCCATGGCGTGGCCTATGTCAACATGCTGCCTTTGCTGTGTCCTGGTGTGAAACGGATCCGAGGCGCTTTTCGTGTCTTCTCCTACCAAGACAGCGAGGTGTTCGAGAAGGTGAGAGCAGGCCAGCCAGCCAGGCTCCACTCCGGCACTGCAGCCGTGTTTGCACGGAGTAGAGTTGAGAGCAGGCAGTATGTGGGCAGCGTGGTATTTGGGAGCAGGCAGCACGGACAGCATGGTACTGGGAGGCTGGATCTGAAACTTCGCTGCCCTTCTAATGATGGAGAAAAATAACGAGACAAGCTTTTAGGTGGAGACTTCTCAAAGGCGTGTGTGAACAGGTTTGGGGGCTGAAAGAGACACTCAACCTCCACACCCTTTTCTGCCAGCAGCTGTGCAGGGACAGCTGTAAGAACGCCCCGCACTCCCCAGTCTGGAACACGGGCAAATGAACTGCATTGCTGGGAAGAGCAAACAGAGGCTTTAAAAGGATAGCGTTACCCCAGGCAACAACCAAAAAAGCTGTCACTGGAGCTCTTTCAGCTGTAGCTCACGGAGGTTTATTTGTCTTTGTGTTTCTCCCCCCTCTGTTACTAAGAGTGACAGTTACATCTCCATTTTCCCACAGTACTCCAGGAACAGACCTGAGCTTGTTTCAGTAGGGCAGATGCACAGCCTGGTTTTTCTGCCCATGTCTCCTGGGTGAATTCCAGCCCTTCTCCCTGTCTCCATGCTTCTGCTGGCTGTGGCAAAGCAGGACTAGGCACACAGCTCTTGGCTGGTCTCTGCTTTGCAGTCATGGATATTGGCTCTTAGCTGCATGGTACTCCTGGTCCTGTAGCATTTACCTGTCACAAGTGACACCTGCTCTCTCTGCCATTCTTATTTTCTGGTTTTGTGGATGCTTTGGGATGCTCCTCGGCCTTGGTTTAGTTGGTCTTGGTACAGCTGCTCCATCTCCTCCCCAGCATCCCCTCAGTTCTTGCTAGCCCATATTGTGGTGAATGCTGGGAGGGAGCTCCTGTCTAGGCGGTAGAGCAGTATGTAAACAATCTGAAAAACATGATCCTTGCGAATCACTGACATGTGTCAGGGAAGCTGCTTCACACCAGAAGATGAGCTGGGAGCTGAGAGTCACTGCAGGGCAGTTGGAGGCATCCAAAAGATTGCAGAGCAGACTTGGTGCGGGTAGCCAGATTCATCTAACGGTCCACATCACCTGGAAGTCATAGCTATGAAGCAGGTCCAGGATTGAGCCAGGAATTCAGGCAGGGGGGTCAGGATCCAGCACATCTACCTTGTAGGTCAGCAAGAATCAAGTGCCAGCCCCTTAGTGAAAATGCAGCTCTGGGGAGGAGGAGGAGGAGGGAGACCTTACTGAGACTTTCTCAGGCAGCTTGTTATATAATCTAACCTGAAGCTTCAGGGCTATACGGTGTCAGAGCTGGCCTTGAGCACCGGCAGCTAAACTCCTAGGAGGGGAGGATGAGGTTGCATAGCTGCTTAACCATTTAAGAACCTGACGATGCGTTTTGTGATGTGAGACGTTAAGGCAAAGGGGTGGGGAAGCCTAGTTTGTTCCTTGATTCCTTCTGTTCCCTCTGTTTTTCAGACTAAAAGTCAGCGCAGTGTTTTCTGGGATCTCAGGTCACAGCTCAGTCAGACTAAGGAAGAGCTGTGGAGCCCAGGAATCAGTACTCACCTTTCCAGAGTCATTCCCAGCAAGAATCAGAAGGAAGATAAAGAGAAAATCACCAAAGATAAGGATTCCATCAGAAGGGTAAGGTCTCGAGAGGCATGTTCCAACATGGTTTCTCCATTTCCACATCAGAGTTAGCTGGGGCCTGCAGAAACTAGGGGTTGGTGCTGTGTTTTCTCAGCCAGCTAAGATACACTCATTATCTTGGAATTCTAGAACATGCTGCCTGAACAAATGTACAGCTCCTGTCCTGAATTTGTGAAGGTGTGAGGTTTGCTGAACCTGAAACAAGAGACGTCTTGTCTTTTCCTTCAATAGATGTCCAATGCGCCCAAAATCCAGTTGTCAGACACCAGTGAGGAAGCTGAAAATGTCACATATCCCAGTCTTGATGGACAGGTAATTATGTGTCTCCAGAGAGAAGGAAAAACTGTCAGACCATCACAGAGCTGCTGTCTCACACCTCTCACGCAATTAAATGCTTCAAGAGTGAGTTGGACAAGGGATGTTTTATATAGTGGAGTTCTTCCAGTGATGTCCAGCTGGAGGACAGCCTAGCACTGGGCTAGAAGGCCTCTATGATTGATTAGGTGTTTATTTAGAAGGGTTCCTTCCTGGTTTGGTTTCTTCCTCAAAACATCTGGAATGCCTATTCATTCTGCAAGCAGATTGGTTATCTTTCTCCTTTTTACCCAGACTGGTTTCTTGAGCCGAATTTGGCTGCTGTAAATCATTCTGAGGGCAGGTTATAAGACAAGCTGCATCTCTGCAGTTTGAAGAGGATTTGCTGAAGATGTGTAGCTGTGTGCTCAGTCTTTCATCATGCCAGTAATGGCTCTAGACAGCATGACATTGAGAGAGCAATGTTTATCTTCACAGCAGTACGTTGAAGCAGGGACGTTCCTGGTGACGGAGATAAAGCTGGACAAGGCCTTGGTACCCAAGCGATTGCGAGAGGAGCTCACTGGACGGTGCGTAAGGTCGTGCTGTAACTCTGGGGCTGTCAGCTCGTTTCTGCAGGATGGAAACAGGGCTGTACAGCAAGCCACCCCCTTGGAGTGCTCTGTAAGGACCAGCTGAGGGGCTGAGCCAAAGCCCGCTGCAATCAGAGGGAGGATTTGGCCAGACTGCTTAAGAGATGGCATCTGGTGTGTTGGGAAAACATTTGCATTCATCCGAGCTGGCATCTCCCTGCCATTCCTCTCACAAAGAGAGACACCAGAGCAGCACAGCCGTGTCTGCATTCCCATCCGGGCTTTGTTTCCCGTTAATCCCCAAGAGCTTGCCTCTTGCTCATGATGCTGCTTGGTCAGGACTGGCCACCAGCGTGGGCTGCCCTTGGTAGCTTGGCTGTAACTTCAATTTAGCATTCTGTCATTTTATCCTTTTCGGAAGTTTTCTCACAATCTTCTACCCATTCCTCAGCTCTTACACGTCTGTTCACCTCGTTCTGCTGTAAAGCTGCTCTCTCCTGTCTGCTGCTTTGGGTCTTCCACGGTCTGTTTGGTTGAGGCAGTGTCTTCCTGGCAGTTTCTTCCTGTCCAGAGCAGTAGCCCTGCTGTGTTACAGTCTAGGAAAGGCCAGCCTGTAGAATTTATTGAATAAAACAGAAAATGCAGCAAGTGAGTAAAGTATAACAAGTGCAGTATGTCTCAAACAGAAATATGAGCAGCTCCATTCTTTGATGGGAAAGTGTGAGTGTTGTCTTGTGTGCTGCCTGCTGTCTTTGAGGAAGGTGAACACACCACCCCCACCCGCCCTCACCTTTACAATAGGCCTTCTCCTGGCCCTTTTTATACCATTTCTACTCTACTGCAACTTGTGTGAATTCACTGTAGTTCCTCCTTGTTCACCTGCCATGTGCAGCTGCAGATGTCAGGCCTGAAAAACCAGCCCTCCCGAGTCGTGGGAAGGGCCCTGCCTTTGGGGGGGGTTCCATGTATGTGTGGTGTCCTGGCAGATGAGATCAGCAGAGAGGTTCTTTTTCTAAGGATGTTTAAATACATATCATGGTGGCAAACCACAGCGCTCTCTCTTGGGCTCCATCCAGAATTCTCTGTCAGCCTCCACTTGGCCCCCTCCGCTTGCTCGCTTTCCCCAGGTTGTTGGTGGTTTTCTTTTTCTCCTCTGAAAGCGAAGCAGTTTGGTTTTCATCTGTACCACTGGCGGAGGTAACACATCAGGGACGGTGCTGTCCTGAGGCCGGGCGAGGGTGGGACTGAACATGAGGGCTGCGCTACCCACTTGTTCAGGCTTTGCAGCTTCCCGAGGGGTGGTGACAGGTCTCTGCAGAGCAAGGGACCACTCAGGGCCACAGCACTTGGCCATACCACAGAGACTGCAAGAGGGGCTTGTGTGGGAGAAGTGACCAGGGCTCAGGGCCTGGGGAAGGTCTGTAAGCTGGCAGAACAGGTACAGGAGGGGTTTGTATTTGGTGGGGAATAAGCCATTTGATTTTCTTGTTGCAGGGATGTGACACCTTTGCTTTGGGGGCTGGATCGTGTTCTAAGGCCTAAACGTGTTTTGGTACCAGCAAGCAGGAAATCTTGGTTAAAATCCAATGAATGTAGGCTGTTTGGGCACCAAGGATTTTAACGCAATGTTAGTAAAAAATATGGTAATCGTAAGGGCTTTTGATCAGTGTTTGCAAGGTCATTGTAACTCTAGTAGTGGTACACACAGGGTTGGTCTGATGTTTAGGAGGCAACGTACGGCCAAGGGAGAAGGTGCCACAGCCACCCTGTGTGATGTTGGGAACTGATGGGTCAGGGCTTACGGTGATAAAATTCTTCAGAGCTCTCCTCAGGTTAGTACCTTTCTTACAGCTCTTCTGGCAGACCCAGGAGGCTGGGAGTGAAAGGAATAGCAGCTTGCTAAGATCTGCTTCTGTAGGAGAGTGGTTTTGATTGCTACCAATAACCAATGTTAACCCCACCTGCCGGGCTGAGCTTCTCTGACAGTGTTTGTGTGATGGGTATCGTGGTTTAACCTTGGCTAGCAATAAAGTACTACACAGCGGCTCACTCATCTCCTCCCCTCCTCCAGTGGAGGAGGAAGATCGGAGGAAACAGTCAAACCCAGTGAAAGTAGCAACGATATACATCTTCTCTAATCCCCGTGGATTGTAATCATCAGCAGGGAGTGAGGCAGCAGCTAGTTTTATCAAGACATTAGGAAGAGCTGCAAGTATTGAATGTAGGTGTCTGGTCTTTACAGTTCATTCTTGGTCTGAGACTCCAGTTTCCCCACCCTGCGTCCCTGTGAGGTGTCTCAGGGACACGGTGACAGGTTGGAGCCCTCGCACTACAGGCTGTCGTCGCCCAAGACAAGCTAGCGTTGGTGGTAGTGTGTCTGGATGACCCCTCCTGTCCTCTCATTGACAGGGTCAAGCAGATGATTCCTCCCCGCCCTTTGCTGCCTCCCCGGACCGAAGGAGCCAAGAAGGTATGTGCAGGAGCCTGTGGCTTTGTCACCACTCTGCCACCTCATCCTGCCCTCATCCCTCTCACACAGGAGAATCTTCATTCTCAGTCTGAGCCTCGCAGCAACAGGTAGATGAGGTTTGAATAGGAAATACACAGAAGAGAAAACTTCTGGATGTGTCATCTTCACAGTGGTATGCCTCAGGAGTCGTTCCTGGGCTGCATCACTCAAGTTCACAGCCCGTACAGAGGGGAGAGATGCAGCAAAGGCAGGGAAGGCAGCAGTGCGGGGGTGTTTGGAAGGAAATGGGATGCTGGGGAAAGGGGCTACCAGAACCTTATTTACCCCGTGCAGTCCAAACAGTTCCTTGCCTCAGACTAGCCCATGTGCTTCATCAGACCCCAAGACACCCAGAATGTTTGAGCACTTTAGTGTGTGCGACATCCTCAGGAAATGGTCTGAGAGCGCTGGCTCGTCTCCTGTGGATATAGGGCAGCCACCGAAGGAGAATGTCCTCAGGTTCCCCTGGCCGATGGCAGATTCAAATCAACAGTGAGGGAAGCAGCAGCATTTCAGTAACTGAGCCCAGTGCTGCTGCAGAATGGATTTGTGCTGGACTGTCTGGAGGGCACAGAGCGATACATTTTGATTATCACAGAGCATGGACACTTCCGCCACCGAGATTCTGGAGATCAGAGACTCTGCTGAAGAGGGCTGGCCCATGGGTTTCAATGGCTCCCAGCAATGGGAGATATTTTACTTACAGCCAATTATGCTGCTCGAGAAGAGACGACGACGACTGAAATACTGGGTTCTGATTCAAAAATATAGATGGAGCAATATCTAATTACGAAGGAGCTCTTTTGCGTTTACGTGTCGATATTTTCAGAGCCCTCAGGCATGGACAGGAAAGGATGCGTGACAGGCTAATTGAGACTTGAGTCAGGCGGAGTTTATGGGAGGCGTGGGCTCTGGCAGATAAAATACATTTCAAGGTTGATGGTGTGAGTTGTGAGGTTTGATTGTGTATTTCCTAGGCTGTGGAAGATTATCACAACCATGTCATGAGCATTGCCGTTGCCATCCTAAGGGAATACCATGAGCTCTTTGGGAAGCAGCTGCCTGACCAGGGAACGATAGACCACCCAACCCTGGAGGAACAGAAGCGTCAGCTCAACTGTAAGCTCAACAGCTCCGGGAAATATTTTGCTTTTAAGGAACAGCTAAAGGTAAAGAGCTCATTGTGCTTTTCGCTTCCCTACTTGTTTTGTCCTGGCAGTTTCTCAGTGAGAACTGCTGCTCCATGGTGGTAACACAGGGTGTTGTGTTGCTCCAGAATCCCTTCCTGCCACCCGGGGCTGTTGCAGTGGGCATGGGGAAGGACGAGTTTTCCCTCTAACAGAGCAGGCATCAAGCTGTGCTGGTCACACACCAGGAGAACCATTCTTGTTAAAGAGGGGAGACCCCAAAGCTGATTACCTCCATTTGCCCCATGCTCATAGCCTGTGGAAGGCAAAGCTGATGGCTCTTGCACGCTCACAGTCCACCCTGGCAGAAAGAGCAGATCCCCTCTCTCAGCTGGTTGGCCTTGGTCACACTCTGCCTAGAGACCCCCTCTCTGTGCCAGGGGGACCAGCCTTTCCCCATATTGTCCCTAAAGGTGTGTCAGGGAGAGCCGGGGCTGGGAGGTGGGAAAGGAATTCACTTCTACTTGCTTTTTTTACTTGTACCAGTGTTGGGTTGGATTTCTTCCTTGGAACTATGTTGGAGCTTTAAGCAAAATCAGTGTGTTCTGACTCTGATTATAGAGCTGGTGGGGGGTGCAGGGGGGACCTCCAACTGTCACATGTCTCCACAGTATGCTGTTGTGAAGATTGTGAGGGAGAAATACCTGAAGACCATGGCATTTGAGACCCAGGAGCAGTTCCAGGCATTTCTCAGTGAGCTCTACGTGTACCTTGTGGACCAGATGCACATCGCCCTGAACCAGGTAAGGAGAAGCCCTGACATATGTCCAGTCCACTGGGATGGGCTGGTGGTGGGGTGGCTGGTCTGTGCCCGCTGGACTCACCCGGGCAGAGCACAGGCCTTCCCCAGGAGCTGGGGTCACCAGTTACTGACACTACAGAGGAAGTTGGGACATGCTTTTGATCTAGGGCATGCTTCCACTTGTCACATCTGCAAATAATGGACATTACCCTGTCCCCTGTGACCTGGGAATGACAGGAAGGTGTCCTGCCACAAACAGGAGCCAGGCAGCTTGCCCTTCCAACCCGCCCAGCCTCAGCCGTACTGGGCTGTACTCAGCGCAGTGCTGGACTGGGGACTGCTGCTGTATTGGGATCACGTGAAACCATTCTAACCCAGGGCTAACACTCTGCCTCGCTCCCTACCAGCTACTGTCCGAGGAAGCTGCTTCCCCTGTCCCTCTGTCCCGCACGACCGAGGAGCAGCTCTGGCTTTTTGCTCGCGAAGCTGAAGTCAACAAGGACTACAAGCTGGCATCTCTCTACCACCAGCAGGTAGAGGAGCCCCTGTTCTTCCCTGCCCATTCTCTGGGTGTCTGGGCGGACAGCCAGCATGCCATCGTGGCGTGGGGCCTGTGTTGCTGACAGCTGAGCCATCCCTGACTGTTGTGTACAGAGGCCTGAGGTGAACGTGACAGGGATACTCAGGCTGGATGTGTGAGGGATTTTCTAGGGAGATGCTGCTCTCTGGAGGATGTGAGACAGAGCCTGGCCTAGCCAGGCCACTGAGGAATTCAGCCTCTAGGCCAGAGGAAATGGGATGAGCTGGTCGAAAAGTTGTGCTGGGGCAGCACTGGGGACATCAGGCTCTCTAGCAGGAAGCTGGGAGAAGGTCAGTTGAAGCTGGAGGTGAAGGAGGCTTAGAGACAGCCTAGCATGATCCCAGTTAAGGGAAACCCTACTTTGTGATAGACAAGGGCTTGGTTGTTGCTAAACAGGGCTGGGGTAGGCAGAGGAAAGCCGTGGTTGTTCCAGAGTTACCTACCAGTCCATTGTGCATGCTGAGCACGGTTGCAGCAGTCCTCTCTCCAGCGATGATCTCTTTCATCTAGAGGTTAGCTCAGGACCAGCACAACATCCAGTACTGGCTGGACTACGGGGCCTTCTGCCTCCTGCTTGAGGAAACAACCAAAGCCCAGGAGTGCTTCCGGCAG